GTTGGTGAAGACGGGTGGCGGCAGGGGGGGGGGGGGTGGCAATACCCACAACGGGTTCAGTTCAGATAACACTCGCCACCGATGTGACCCCGTGTAATCGATGTGACCCCGTGGAATCGATGGACCTTAGTTTAATCGCCCGAACCAATCGACAGACGACGCCCGCCACTGCCGCCGTTGTTTAAACAATCCGCTGATGGGAGCACATTTTGTTTTCTGGAGGGCACATCGGCCGGGCGGATTAAATGTCATTTCCGCCACCGATTAAAAAGCACCCCCCCCCCCAAACCTCGCCGAGCGTTTTAACCGTTTAATGACCGTGGTAATTATGCATCGGGGCGCAATGCAACAGGAAGGGTGGGCGGGTGGGAGCGAGTGAGTCATCACCAGGGCATGGGAGGTGCGCTCCGGTGATTATAGCTGTCTGACTTAAGAACTCGTAAGTGGCCTGGGGAGTTTTTAAACATCACTTGCGATGGTTAGCTTTCTCGCGCCTGTGTCTGTGCGTGTCTCCCTCCCTCGCTTACCGTTCAACCGCCACCGCCTCTCACTTCCCTCTCTCCTCCTTGCTGCTCTCTTATTCTCACATCTATTCCCTCTCGTAGATGTACGTGTGGATGTCGAGCTTGTTTCGTACAGCAATGTAGCCAGCCGTGCTAATCGGAGGTGCGGGGGAATGACAACAACAAACTGGACACAAAAAGCAGTTCTAAACATGCATGTTTCAAGCTAGATTTTAAAGTGCATAGCTCCAGTGGCTTGCTAATATCGGAAGGAAGAGCGGCGTTCCAGACGGCCGCAGAAGCGCGTCTGGAAGCGCGCGATGTGGTGACCGTCCTTTGTTGGATGGCCCAGACAAAAGACGATGCGAGGATGACCGGAGTTCGCGTGATGGTGGTTGATGCTCCTCGTCCTGTCTTTCCCCGATTCATCCTCTTCCACCTGTCACTCCACGTTCTCCACTGTCCCACCTCTGCTATCTCTCTCCTGGTCTTCTCATTTCTCTCTCTTGCTTTCTCTCTCGAACCGCTTTTACTCTCTCTTCTATCTCTCTCCCTCTCTCGCCACTGCTTTCCAGACCAATTACATCCAGATCTTAATTTCTCAAATTAATATTTTCCGGGTCGCTGGTGGACTGGAGTAGGTGCCACGTGACTTAAGTAGTAGCCACAGCCCATAGTTGATCGGTATACCGGGCGTGGTGTGTGGGATGCCAGAAGGATTTTTTCTCGGCCACAGATCCAAGAGAGATCAAGCCCTGTGGTCATATCACCTCTGCAAAATGCCACCTTATTTCCAAGTTGTTCAGTGTTTGAGCTCTTCAGTACAAATCAAAGACTCACCGGAGATTGTGGGTGAACTTTGAGATGGCTTTGAGCTTCATGAAGATCATAAAAACTCACGTCCGGTCATCTTCGCAGTGACGGCTTTTGGCTGGCCATCGAACAAAGGACGGTCACTGCATCGCCCGCATTCAGACGCGCTTGTGTGGCCGTCTGGAACGCTCTTCCTTCCGATGTTAAAAAGCCAAAGAGCTATGCACTTTTAAATCATCATCTCGATTGAAAAGTAATTTCTTTAGAACTGTTTTTTGTGTTTAGTTCCTTGTTCTTCCCCACATCTGATTAGCACGGTTGGCTATGTATGGTATAAAAGAAGTTCAACACACATACATACATACATGAAAAACCACCCCTGGAACTTCGGAAGCTAAGCAGAGTTGACCTTTGACAGCGCATGGATGGGCAACCGCCAAGCTGAGCAGGGCGATGCCAGCTGCTGCGATTTCTACACGGTGGCCTACAGAGGGCCAGAGCACCAAAACTCCACTGCTGCACTGCATTTATAAGCTCCCCACTTTCATCAACCCGCAAACGAGCGGCGTGCGGTGAAGTATGGTCAAAATAACCTCCACGGTGCACGCGGTGTGGGGAGGGGGGGGCCTTATCCAGCAGTCGTCTGACAGAGGGCAGTGCATGTTCACGTGAACCCTCTCCCGGTTCGCGTGAGCATTCTCTCGGCGTTCGCGTGAACATTCTTCGAGTTCCCGTCTGGGGAAACATGAGCTACTCACCGCGGGGTCCCTGTTTGCAACCTTAACCCCGAATCCTCACTCACCCCTGCCTGGGGTCGGGAAACCAAGGTGGGAAGGAGGAGGAACCCAACTCTTAAACCCAAGCACCAGCCTGGAGGTCTTCATCCAAAATTGGATTGACCACGACTGCCGATGATGATGACAAATCCATGAAACCGAAAATGCAGCCCTTCGTCAATCCACTGCTGGACAAAGGCCTCTCCAAGCTGCGTCAGTCATGAAAGTTGTTTGAACATACTTCACCATGCCGGTCAGTGCCGGCTGGTGAACGAGAGGCGGGGGAGGCTACAGGTTACTCGGGAGCAGTTCAGATATCGTTCGCCACTGATGTTAGCCGTGGCCGGAAAATCAAACAACTCAGATCGCCGGTTTCGGAGCACCGGTGCGGATCGCTAACCGCTGCGCCACCGCTCCCCTCCCTGGAAGTAATACCTAAGTGGTGTAATAATGAAAGTTAATAATAGTACGGTATTGGATTTTAAATAACAACCGTGACTCATTAATGGCACAAGTCGATGGTTTGACAGAATGGCGCAACACACGCGCACAACACTGAACGCATCACCACCACCACCAGCATCGCAGCGTGGATGGAAAGGTATCTTGGTCTCAGTGCGTCCAACGCCGCTCGGTACTGAACGAACTGTATTGCACCCGAACATCAAGAAGAAATGTCGACAGTAATTTCCATCTCGATCACGTAAGTTCCTAATCGGCTGGCAAAGTATACCCAAGCTAAAGGACTATATTTAAAATCATTACACTAAACCATTTTGTTTATTTTACCAGGTAAGGGCCACTACTGAGCTCTGCAGCTCTTTATCAGAAGCGACCTGGCGATCACAAATGACAGCTCAGCAAAGTGGCTCATCGCGTGGAGGTTTAGAGCAGCGAGATCCTCCCAACGCACGACGATTCTGAATGTGGATGGAGAAACCGGAGGACCTGGAAAAGTCCACGAGACCGTGCAAACTCCAAATATACAGCAGCAGGCGTCAGGGTCGGGATCGAACCCACGACCTCCTGTACACCAGGAGAGGCAGTTAACATCTCGCCACCGTGGCACCACAACACACGTTCGAGTGGTCGAGATGCACATCCGAGATAGTTTAAAGACGCCTCTCGTCTGAACGGCACGGGCTCGTCTCTCCACGTGGACAGCGAAGTGACCGTGTTCGCCTGCTTCTCGTGTGCAGTTCGTTGTCCTTCCGCCCGCAACCCCCGCTTAGCGCGGGTGACCACGTACTGTGCAAAACAAGTTCAACACGCGACCCATGTGCATTAGTCCATCGCCCATCGGCGCTGAGGTCCGGAACCATGTTGACCAACAGCAATCGGTTTAAGAGAGCAAAACATTGAACCCCCCACTCTGAACCAGCTTCGATTTCTCGTGAGTCTCGTCAGCGTCGCGTGGCGAGTTGCGCACGTGAACCGCGCCGCGTGTTTTCTCGAACTCTTGGCGACACCGAATCGCCCTCGTCAGGAACTGTGAATGGGATCGCGTCTCGAAACGTGCCCTCGCCGAGCTACGCAGATGTCAAGTATCGATTGGGCATTGAACCAAAACAAGCGTTGGCTTCAACCAAAACTGGAAGGCGCGCGCCCATTAAACAAAAACACGACAACGTTGGGTGAACGTCGGGCCAACGTTCCACGTTTACTGGGCATGCTGGGCAACGTTCTCAGCAGATGCACCGTTGTACTGTAGTACGCTGCGACGTCTATGCTGCCCGGCTGCTCCACCAAACAGCGCAGACCCCCCACCCAGCGTGGTGAGGTATGGTCAAGTAACCTCCAACACAGCCCGCAAGTTGTGCGCGCTGAGACATCTCCACACAGCCGCCGCAGGCTGACGAGCAGCGGCGGCTCTCATCGTCATCTCGTGGCTCACACACGACCAGAGAGTCTCGATGTGCAGTGGAGGTTTTTGTTTCCCATTGCAAGGCCCGCGGGCCACTGGCAGGCCCTATAGTGGCCTTTAGTGCGGCCCCTGACATGGGTGAACCACCAAGACCACCACCACGACGACAAAACACAAAATCATGCTGCCGTCACAAAGCCAACAATGGTTTCAAATCGTGTGGCGGCCCTCACACGTCACACTGTTGATGTCTCATACCTGTCAACTCCTTATCAGTGCCCTACCTTATTATTACAGATCAATGCAGACCTTACTGGTCACCCGTGCCCCTTAGAAATCTCAACGTTCATCCTACAAAGTCCCATCACGAGGGAGAAACACAAATAGACAAACACAAATGTTGTGCCCGTGTTGAAACGTCTGTCCGCAGGCTGGACCTGAAAACGCAATTTCCCTGCACAAGAATACGGGGTGAACCCGTATGGGTTGACAACTGTAGATGTCTTACCGGCGAAAGCAGACCCCCCCACTCACCCCCTCTGAAAACTAGAACACCGTGTTAGAAGCTTCGTTGTGCATCATGATTTAATCATAATGTAATAAAGACTTTACAAGTCGCTGGTGACGTCACACGCCAGCGGCTCGGGCCGGAGAACTTCTGCGAAGTTGTTCTTCTCAACTCGCCTCGACCCTCCAGCGAGCACGGGGACTTCGACTCGTGCGGGGAGACGGGGAGAGCGCACGGGGAGCGAGAGAGAGAGGGGAAGGCGGATGAGAGAGAGTCGAGAGAGAGAGAGTAGAGACGGCAGGAGCGGGGCGAGAGAAGAACGACGAGAGAGGAGGAGGAGGAGGCGATGGGTGCGGAGAAGAGAGCGAGTGGGTTAAACTAGTTAAGAGAGAGAGAGAGCGCTAAGGGGGAGAGTACAGGGGCGAGGGAATGGCTTACGTGTGGCAAAGCGAGAGAGGGAGACATACACGGAGAGAGATACAGAGAGAGAGACAGAGAGAGAGCGAGAGGCACGGGAGGAGGAGGAGTCGCGTTACCATTTGCTTCATGGTGGCCGCGTCTCCGCGGGGCGCTGCCGGCGTGCAGCCCGGGACCCGCGCGGCTCCTCCCCAGCTGATGTCGCTCTCTCTCCTCGGGCCTCTCGCTCGCTCCCTCCGAGATACCCGCAACCTCCCCTCTCTCTTCTTCTTCTCTCTCTCTCTCGGCGAGCTTAGTAGGACGACGCCATCGTCGCGGCCAAACCCCGGGTATCCTCAGCGACGCTCCGGCAAGTTCCTCCCCGTGCGTGCGTGCGTGCGTCTCGTTCTCTCGTTCTCCCCGTGTCGCTCTCTCTCTCTCGTTCTCTCTCTCTCCTCCTCCTCCCGAGAGCAGTGATGACAACACCCAGCTCAGAGAACCCGCCCACTCTCCCTCCCTTCCTCTCCCTCCCCCACTCTCCCCCCGCCTCATTCGCCGCCTCCCACGGTCGGGAGAAGACGGCCCACGGCCCCTCCCCCCCAGCACTGGGGGACAACTCCCAACACCCCCAGCACCCTCCACCCCTCGCTCCCTCTCACAGTCCCTTCACTCCTCCATTGTCAATCACTCACTCATTCATTCATTCCTCCCTGCCTCCTAAACCCCTTCACAGTCCCTCCATCTCTGACTCGCTCTATCCATCCATCCGTCACTCCTCCATTGTCAATCACTCACTCATTCATCCCAGCCACCTTCTTCCCTTCACCGTCCCCCCATCCCTGACTCATTCCCTCCCTCCCTCCACCATCCATCCCTCCATCCATCTTCATTCATGAATTATCTCTCTCCCATTCATTATCCCATCATTCATTCCTCCCACATTCCTCCTTCATTCACCCCCCCCACACTCCCCGTCATCGCCACTCTCTTCCTGCGCGCATTCCATTCGACGGCTGCCCGATAATATATGTTAATACATGTTAATATATGTGACTACTGTACATGTTCATGTGCGGAGATTGCTACAAGATAAAGACGCCGGTGCGTGGTTAAGCGTCAGTATGCACCCCGATGCCAGTCGGGGTGCAAGTCGATGAACGTGCCAGCATCGCATGCGCCGTGCTCACGTGCAGATTGTACGCTGCGATGCCATGCTGATGCATTGCGATGCCCGCTGATGGAACGCACGGATGCGAGACGGACCAAACACAACCACGTGGCACGCACAAGCGACGGGACGGCAGTGAAGGGACATGGCACACGCTACGTCCACGCGTACTGATTGCACTTGTGAGAGGAGCGGTGATGCAGTGGTTAGCGCACCGCGCCACGAAACCTATTTACCACCTGACTTCGATTCGGGGCCACGGCTAACAACAGTGGCGAGGAGTATTTGAACCGCTCCTGGGTGCCCACCGCCTTTTCACCAACCAGTGTGGTGAAGTATGGTCGAACGAACCACATGAGCGACATGGCGTGGGTAGGGGGGAAGGGGGGAAGGGGTGGGAGGGAGGGCGACACTTCATCCAGAAGTAGATTGACACACAAAGGGCTGCAACTCAATGATGATATATTATATCGCGTTTATACGTTACGCTGCGTTATAATGAAAACGCGTACATGGACAACCCTTACATCAATCCACTGCTGGATGAGTGCCTCTCCACACCGTGGACGATGGGGGGGGGTGGGGGTCACGCATGGGGCGGGGGGTGGGTGTTATTTAACCATACTTCACAAACGCACACGCCGGTTAATGATTGATAATCATATGCAAATGAGCGACTGAGCACGTGGGCGCCACCGTTCCATACAAGGGAACGGGAGATGGAATCTCGGCTGGGGGCAAAGGAATGTGAAGAGGGGAGGGGGGCGGAGGGGGGTGAGGGGGGAGGAGCGGGGAGGAGGAGGAGGAGGAGCGGGGAGGAGGAATTCCATTCGGTCGAGAACGCGCAGAGCCGACAGTCTATAAATAACCCGGCTCCCACACTCAACACTCACTCACTCACTCCGGCCGTTATTTATTTATTTGCTGGCTTACCAGCCAGGAATTTTAATTATATAGTCTGAACTTGTATAGTCTATACCCTTCATTAGTAAGAAATGTGGAGTATTCGTGCAACTTTTGAGCGCCTGTGTGTGTGTGTGTCCGTCCGTGTGTGTTGCACAATAGTGGGGAGCGGTGGTGTAGCGGTTAGCGCGCTGCGCTATGAATCTGGCGACCCGGGTTCGATTCCCGCTCACGGCTAACACCAGTGACGATTATCTGAACCGGTCCTGGGCCTCTCCTAGGTCGACTCAGCCTTAAATGAGTACCTGGTGCGGTGTGTAAACATCGCCACTAGGGAGACAAAGGCGGTCGGGCGTGGTGCTGGCCACCCACTCCCTCGTGTACCGTTCCGGCCTTCATAGGTGCTCGCTAACAGCACTTGCCCCTACAGTCTGTTCAGGCTATACGGGGGATCTTTGTCTTTGTCTTTGTTGCACAATCTGAAGAGAAGATCGTGTTTATCCGCCAGAGAGACGATTGCTCACTTTCTCACCACGAGCTGCTGCGGAATAACAACTCGGCGCGTCTCGTTCATTGGCGTGAGTCACGGGTGTCTCAATGGAATTGTGTCCTGGTCTTCTACATGAGGAGGAGGATGATAATGATGGTGGTGGTGGTGACTATTTTTACTTTTTGATCAATGAACGGGTGTTGTTGCTCGATAGCAACCAACCATCACGTCACTTCGTAGAACTGTGGGCAAATATTCACACGCCCGTTTAAAGGAAGACCGTGTTGTCATCGGGAAACATTGAAAAATGCTATTATCATCAGAACCCCAAATGGTGTCAACAAGTGGCAGTCTGCAACTCTTACCACCATCCAACTCTGCCTTTCTCCTGGCCGCTCTGTTCACGTGCTCTGAATAAGGACCATCGCCCGAAACGTCGCCTATTATAAAATTGCATTATGGCCACACACACGGTGTTATTTACAAATTCGTCCTTGTTGTTGTTTTACTAACACGACCGCGTTGTTGTTGTCGTCGTTGTTGTTGTTTTGCTAACATGACCTCGTCATTATTGTTGTTGTTTTGCTAAGACGATCGCGTTGTTGTTGTTGTTTTGCTAAGACGACCTCGTCGTTGGCTTTGCCGGCGCATCTTCGCCCCACGCTTTCTCCGGTTGCACGACGTGCCGTTCGCACACGATGTCCGACGTTCCGCGCCGCGTGCCGGGTGCGAGCTTCAGGAAAGGAAGACAAAAGAGAGAGCCGTGACGTTTGTTGTGATCGTGGTGAAATAATGTTCAGTCCTTTGTACATGTTGTTGTCGGTCGCCGAGGTTATTTGACCATACTTCACCACTCTGGTCAATGTGGGTTGGCGAGGTCGGGAGTGCCAGCCCTTCCTTGTCATTTTGCCACTGAGATGTTAACCGTGGCCCAGAATGGAACTCAGGTCATCGGCTACAGAGAGTAGTGCACTAATCACTCTTTCCACGGCACCTCCGATCAGCACGGCTGAGCTACGGACGGTGCGCGAAGGACGTTCAACAGCGGCGCTCTGCACCACCGCAGTCAGCACCGCCTGATCCCCCCACCTGAGTCACCGGGGCGAGGTCTCACCAAGGCGCCCCGCGTCACCTGCTCTCGTCCCGGGCGTGATTCACGGTCGAGGAATTTTGAGGAGGCGGTTTTGGGTTGACGGTTTCCCCAACGGTTCGGGAATCCACCAAAAAAACCACAAAGGTCACCGCCCCCCCCCCCCCCCCATAGCCTTTAACAGACTGTTGGGGCAAGTGTTTTTGGCGGCCACCCTATATGTATATAGGGCCGGCACGGAACGGCACAGGAGGGGGTGGGTGGCCAACACCCGCCCTGGCTCGCCAGGAGAAGGCGGTACAGCGAGTGTGGACTTCACCTGCTCCGTCTGCACGGGATAGAGTGTTCCCCCCTCGCACGGAAGTACGGTTATCACCACCATCATCACCATCATGACCATCATCATCATCACCATTATTACCATCATCATCATCACCATCAGGTCGTCTTCTCCCACGTGCCACCTTTACCTGACTTCTACGTTTGGGTCACTCATTCGGCCCAGCTTCACCAATCGGCTGAAAACATCTGAACACGTAGAGGGACAGCAGACCTCGGGCAACTGTTGGTAGGACCGCGGCCTCTTTGCCTGGCTGCCGCTGCTTCCTTCCCGCTCCTCTGTGGTTCATCCCCGCGACCCCGAGTCGCTCTCCGCCCGTGAGAGCGAAATGCCGTGCGGCGTGCGGCGGCGTTGCAAGTCGAGGGCATCATCGTCATCATCGCCACGACTTCTGTCAAGTCCTTCCAACTCGTCCCGTGTCCTCACTGCGTCTTTCTCACGCGCCGCAGTGGTGTCCATCACGTGGCAGTGAACGCGAAACGTTCAATTCAGTAACGGGGAGAGCGACGGCTGTTCGAAGCATCGACAGCGGCAACGACGGTGCCAGTGCCGTGCATGGACCGCATCACGCACAGCAGGAACAGCAGCAACTGAAAGAGACACGCCCGGCAACAGCAGCAGCAAAGAACAACAGCAGCAGCACTATTGTCAGAAATAGTAGAATCGATAGCGATAGAATCAACAGCGGCATCAACAGCAGCAGTATAATCAACAGTAACATCAACAGCAGCAGTAGAATCAACAGCATCAACAGCAGCAGCCGCATCAACAGCAGCAGCCGAATGAACAGCAGCAGCAGCATCAACAGCATTAACATCAACAGCAGCAGGAAATCCGCTCCCCGGGTTCCTTAAGCCCCACACCACGGACCGTGACCCGGGAGGGGGGAGGGGGGAGTGGGGTGGGGAAGGAGAAGGGGATGGAGGGGAGGGGAGGGGAGAGCGGGGGTGGGGGGGCAGGTTTGGGACGGGCTCGAGTGGGGGACTCTAGAGAGGGGACCTCATGACTCTGGTCTGGAGCCGGGACCCTTGAGGAGGAGGGGGGGGGGGGTGCAAGCAGGAGTGGTGGCTGCACTGGGGGGCTGGGGGGGGAAACGATGATACCTTAGCGAGCACAGAGGTGATCCATTATTCACGAGAAGCAGAGCGAAACAATCGCTGCCAAACGGGGGCACGTGACAATAGCCGGGCGCGGTGGTCCAGGCGCTCTGTGCGGGCAAGGGGTTGCGGAAGGATCACGCAGAGATGTGCGAGGTGGCCACGAGGTGGCGGTGACGGCGAGCGGTTTCGTGAACACATCTGTGCGGCGCTCGTGGATTGTCTCCACGTCCTCCGGGTTTCCCCTGCCACGCGAGGAGAAACTCCCACGTGTTGATGGGATTCGTGGGCCAAGTATCCCAATGCAGCAGGGCCCTCTTGAAAAGAGTCTCGAGACCCGGTGAGGTTGTCCTGGGTTA